TCACAAACGGTGATTGAATAAGCACCGGATGGAATATGAATCTGTGTTAGGGAAAGCGCTTTTTGCAGACAGTCGGTGATAATTTTGATCACCATTGCAACAGTTGGACCTAGGATTTTTGATCTTATATCCGTCCTACTAAGGACAACCCTCACTTTACCTCTCTTTTTGGAACCGGTTTGAACAAAAAGTGGAATATTTCTGTCGAAGACGGCTTCTAAATTTATTCACCTTTCCATACTTTGATACTATGATGATGATGATGATAATGATGATTTTTATTGTTGAAATGGATTTGATAAAGAGTCACAAATTTTTGAGATATTGTTTAAAATCTAATACTGCTTCTTGATTTTAAATTCGTCTTACGAGTTTCAATTCCGTCCTAACGCATTGAAACGCCATTCGATTCTCTTCGTCCTACGGATAAACGTAGAAAAAGGGGATTCGTTAGGAGCGCTTCTATTGTTTTGAGAACAATGAGCGTAAATATTCATACAATGCGCTCTAATAGGATTTATGTTGTAGCTAATGAACTTACGCATCGGAACAAACCTATTATTAATTGGTGCACGGTGAAATCATAGATATTATTGAACGTTTCAGCTCGATAGAACTGAAAAAGGGCGATTACACTTATTTGACTTAGTACTTATTTTAGCAGATTCGTAGAAAAATTTCCAACCGATTGACTTATTTCGAATTAAAATCCATCCGCTATTGACAGAGTTGTAAGTGGTCAAAGCCCAACCAGGTTTCGTAGCGCGGCCGTTGTTGGTTTTTTGAAATTTCACCCCCAATATGTTGCCGAAAGAGGTGATCCTGCGTCAAAAAGATTAACGACCTTGCTAAATTTCCAAGCTTCATGGAATTCGGTGAGAATTTCTAAGGAACTCATTCCAAAGTTCTGGGAGAAACTATGACGAGGTAGCTTTCGAGGGAGTTCTGAGAAACTCAAAAATCCATGTGATTTCTGAGGAGGATACAGATCTAAGTAAAATTCCAAAGAATTTTAATAAAAATACACTACAAAATTTGTAGGTTAATCGCTCAGGAATTCTGAGAAAATATGGAAGTGAATTCTGAGGATAATTTTATGACAATGCTGAGGAGAACTCCAAGGTGATTCAAAGGAGAAATCCAAGGAAAGTCTGAGGATAATTTCAAGAAGATTCTGGGAGAACAGGAATCCGGAGTATAATTCCCTGGGTATTTTGGTAGAATGTATTACAATTAAATCTGAGAATAATTCAAAGGAATTCGGTCTAGAATTCCAAGGGAGTCCTGAGTTGAATGCTTATCAAATTCTAAGGAGAAATCTATGGAATTTGGAGAAGAACTGCAAGAGAATTCTTAGAAGAATTTTAAAGTTGTGAGTAGAATTCCAAGGGAAGGAGCTGAATTCAAAGGAAAATCGGAGATAAATTTAATGAAAATTCTGAGATTAATTTCAAAGGATTTCATAGGAATATTCAAAAGAAAATCCTGAGGAAAATTAAAATACAAATATAATTTTGAATAATATATTTTGGTGAATTCTTTTTAGTCTTGAAGGCAGGGGTTGAAACAGTTGACACTCATGCTCTTACGTCGTCTATCTCACACAACACAAACGGTAGAATAACATTCGAGCAAAAAGAAAATTATCAAATAAATATCATATGGCATGTGTGATTTCGTTCTAATTCCTCAATTTGGTGTAAATTAAATCATATCTGATCAGAAATGTTATTACTAGGACATCGCTGCTTGCTATTTTCAGAATTCACACAAGCACAACATCAGCAGCTCTTATTATGAGAAAAACTAAAATACATACATTAGTGACGGTCTTCGGCGACAGTGTCGTATGACAGAGCCTGTCATATGACATTTTAGTTTGGTACTGTACTATGATAGCTTGTTTTGCAAGTGTCGGAGGCAAAGGCAGTCGATTATCACAGAAAATTTGTCGACCGCTTACAAGGCTGCTTGAAGGTGAGTTCCATAGGAATTCGTAGCAGCATTTGAAACAATATTTTTTTTGGGATTTCCTAGTAGAACCAAACAAATATTCTTAAGATAATTCCATGAGAATTTCGGGCAAGCCGAGTAATGCTAGAAATCAAATTGATATCAAAATTTGCTGTTGTGATGAAACTTATTTTGAATACGCCAGTCAAGCTCAATTAAAAGCTTCATTAACACTATTGAATGAAACGAAAAACTAATCATGCTTTCAATCAAATCAATTTGACTACTGGAGTGTTCACTCGGCTGTCGACAAAAGCAGGTCACTCTCGATGTGTGCCAAGCGGTCGTCTGTTTTCTCGGCAGCAACAATTGTGTGGTCCTTCTCATTGTTCATCATCAGCAGTTCAAAGTCGTCGACTTTGGAAAGCAACAGTTTCGTGATGAATGTGTGAGTGCCGACCACGTTTTGCGTCCATTGCTGCAATGGAAGCGCTCTGACCCCCGTTGGCAATACTGCCATACAATGAAACCACTGGAAGCGGCTCCCGTTCTGATGGAGGAGGCTTTTTAGATAAAGTGTTTATTGTGTTATACCTTTTGACTATAGTTTTAAGATTTTTGTATAGCGACCAAGAATCCTCGGCTCGGTAAAGTAAATTCGATTGAGCCTTATTAAATAAATCAATAAACAACTTAAATTGCTTATTTCACATTCATAATATTTAACTGAATACGGATCTGGTGTAAATGGTTAGCATCCATGCTTCTCACACTGAAAGACTTGAGATCAAATCTCACCTCGGACAAGTCACGAATGACCTAAAATGTGTTAAACAAAACAAAAATTAAATTAAATTTTCAACAAAGCGTTAACAATAGAACTTAAATTTAATAATTAATTTTCATTACGATAGGAACAGCAAACTTTAATATCGATTTGGCTTCATTTTGTTAACAGACTTTGCTCGGGTAGCTCCAAGAAAATTTTCAAAAGAATTCTTCGGAGAATTTCTAGGAATAACTGCAATAATTCGACTGTGAGCGTTCATAAGGGCTTAATTGCAATGATCGATTATCTTCATCGATTTTCACTGTAATAGGTTGTATTTGCTATCAAAAGCAACAGCAAACGCACCGAAAAATTGTTAATCAAAACAAGTTATTAACAAAAGAGAAAATCGATGAAGAGAATCGATCCTTGCAATTACGCCCTTATGAACGATCACTGTTGAATTATTAATAATTTCAAAAGCATAGCAGAGCGAATGCAAATAGTGTTCTACAGAAAGGAAGACAATTATAAGATAATATCAGAGATAGATCTAAGATGAACTCTGAGGATATTCTGATATGATACTGAAGAAATTCTGTAAAGAATTCCAATGATAACTAATTCAAGCTAATTCAAACAAATAGGGGAAATGGCTCTAATGTTGGCCTATGGATCTAAGATTGGGCCCATTGCTAAACATCTGCTATTTATCAATTTTATCTAGATGAACGCGTCATTGGGACGGTCCTAATGGATATTTTTGGTCGCTATTGAAAATTTATTCGATTCCTGAATTTATGTATAGGCCCAAATTAGGGGCATTTAGGCCGACAGTACTTCCATTTACTCTATTTTTTTTTACGAAATCCTGAAAGCAAAAAAAAAATTAAAATCTGGGATTTAAAAAAACCAAGGGTTAGATTTTTGTTTAAGATTTCATGTATGATTCGGGGAGTTTAATTTTGAATTCAATATTCAGGACGTGGATAAATTTTTAAGATTCTGAAACTTGAGAAGTTTTCAAGATTCATAAATTAAATATATTTTTTTGAAATGCCAGACTTTGAAATGTTTTTTGTAAAGATTGTGAATATGAAATAAATTAAATGTCTGAGACTTCCTTTTTCGATTCTGGCACTTAAAAAGATTATCTAGATCTTAAACTTAGGCTTGAAATTCAAAACTTTGAATTTCTTTAAGATTTTCGGCTTAGCCAAATTAAACAAATGATAAACTTCAACTAATGGTTTCGATTGAAAAGCGTTTCTCTTAAAACGGATTGCCATGTCTTAGAAAAGTTTGTGGCAATTTAGTTGTTGTTTTGCTTAAAAGACCACAATGTTTAACGCATTTAAAACACAGCGTTCATATAAACCTGGAAATGTTCGTAAAAGTTCTGGAAAATACTGGAAAATCCAGGGAATTGTATTCATCAAAATGTGTAGACACCCTGATAAGTTTGGTCATAATTAATTCAAAAGAATTGTTCAATTTCACTTACTTCCGCTGCAGCACATATTTTATAACAAAATATATATATTTTTTAAATCCCATTCCCATTGTAACGAATCATATTGGCTCAAATTTCCACCGGTGCCGCGTCACATCCGGTCGTCGTTTAGCATCATCGGTGCTACCCAGACCCATCACACACACCGCAGATCGCAGAACAGAGAGTGCGAAATATGTAAAATGTGTCGCCATCATCGTCGGTGTCGTGGGCCGGGGCAGCTCTCCGACCACCAACATTTGTGTTCTTCGCCTCATTTCCCCGGTGACCAAGTAGTCTTCATTTTGGACCGAACTTTCTCGGCATCGTCGTCGTCGTCGGTCGCCGTCTGGGTCTGGGTCCTGTATCTATTCCAAATATGCACTGCACATGACTATGCTATGTAGGTATTGTGCCGCTCTGTTTGGATGAAGCTTGTGGGTGTTGTGTAGAGTCCTAGGCCATGGTTTGTTGATGCTGCTCGATGTTACCGAGATGTTTATGTACATGCTGGGGGTGGCATGGGATGGAAACATTGTGCAGCCATGTAGACACAATTTTCGATTCGAAACATGAGGGGGGATACGAGCTTGGAGGGTAGGTTATCATCAGACAGATGGTGGTGAATATTTTATAAGGGTTCTTCTTTTCGGAATGTTGCCACATATAAGACCATTGTTTGCAGAAATGAGTCGTGACAAAATGGATTTCAATGCTGCATTTGAATAAAAACAAAATCAAAATCTAATTCGATTTCACTTTCTTCCTCTTTCTTCCCTCACTCAGCAACGAGGAATGGATTTCGTCTCCTAGTCCGGGCAGCGTGCCAGGTTCGGCACCGCCGCTGAGTCCTTCGCCTGGTTCGCAGAGCCACACCTACACGACCACCATGTCCAATGGCTACTCGTCTCCGATGTCCACCGGCAGCTACGATCCGTACAGTCCGAATGGAAAAATGGGTAAGTACTCTTATGCTGATGGTTAAGATCGTTGCCCTAGCGGAGACTAGCGTAAGCTGTGATGATCGGTTTTCAGCGCGAGAGATAGGTGGCACTAGCGATCGCTTTTGCGATCGTGCTCCACCAACACTGCCCAATTACGATTGCAAGCCTGTGTGCGATCTTTCATGAGTGAATTCGTTTTGTTTCATAGCTTCACGTTTGATCGAGTTCTGCCTCGGCGCGACAGTGGCGATCGCGTGCTGAGTTGGCCCGGTAAGAACCAGTGAAACATGAAATGTCGATTAGTTGTAGGTACACAACCATCATCTGACACGCTGACGGTGTACGTACTTGCGGACTGAATCTTGGTAAAAGAAAAGTGAAGGGCTTTCCGCTGGCTGGCAGCTTTGTTGGACCATTGCTGTGTTGCAGGTCAATTCAGCAGCATGACGGCGGCGGTGGCGGCGTTGGCTACTTTCAAGATCAATGCTGGGTAGTGCTCTCGTTCGCCTGGTAGTTCGGTTTTGTTGGGCCGTATGATTGAATGGGTTTTCGTGAGTTTGACCCTCCCCCCACCCCCACCAGTGTCATGCTTTTTCCCATACTTATAAGGGAAGTAAAGCCGTTGGTCCCCGGTTCATGAGTTGATGGATCGATAGGTAGGGTCCAGGTGTGGGAGCTGCCTCCCTGGCGTCAGTAGCATTGGTGCTAAGTACGGGCAACAAGATCGACGGAAAACAAATCAAGAGAAAAAAAACATGTTCTCAAGAGTGGACGTCTTATTTGAACTGCCCCTTACCTCGCGCTCGCAGTCGAGAGCGTGGTGACCATTTTTGGGATCAGCTTGATTGGTCGACGGTGGGTAATTTGACTGTGGTTTTTGGTAGTTTACTGCTAGGTCAACTTATAATGACGCTAATTATACACAGTTTTGTTTTCGATTGTTTTATGTCCTTGATCGTAATATTGAGAGTAGGTACTGATTGTATATAGTCTCTCTCTTACGTATGTACTAAACCTTTAGATAGATAGGAAGTTTCTACCGCCATTTCTGGATTTTATGGGCCATAGAAAATTTAAGAAATTGTCACAACAGGGTGTTCACCAAAACCAAAAGATTGAAAATAGGGTTCAGATCTAATTTCGGTCATACTAAGCACAACCCGCATTTTACCTATCTCTTATGATCGGGTTTGTACAAATATTGGAATGTTTCTATCACAGCTGACTTCTAAATTGATTTACCATTCCATACGTACCCTTTGATTTGAAAAAAAGTAATAAATTGATGCGTTCGGCTGAAAGTCTTCTTAATAAAGATAACTACTAACTAACAAATTGTTGAGATATTGATGAAAATCTGATCTGATGATAATCTGCTATTGTAATGACAATCTCAATTCCAAAACTGTGGCTAACATTCAAAATGGTGGGTTCAATATGGTGGATTAGCGGCGCCGGTGGTTTAGTGGTGAGCGTAATTACCTCTCACCCTAGCAGGCCTGGGCTCAATTTCAGTCGGCGCCGCTGGGATGTTCTGAGGCATATAACATCTTTGATCACATCTTCCTTAGAAAGGGTAGTAAAGCCGTTGGTTCATGAGTTGATGGGTCGATAGGTAGGGTCCAGGTGTGGGATCTGCCTCCCTAGCGTCGGTAGCATTGGTGCTCAGCACGGAAAACAAGATCGGCGGAAAACAAATCAAAGCCGGCGCCGGTGGTGTTGTGGTAAGCGTGACTGCTTTCTCACCCCAATGGGTCTGGGTTCAATCCCAGCCGAGGTCGGTGGGATTTTTCTGAGGCATAAAAATCTCTGGTCACGCCTTCTATCGGAAGGGAAGTAAAGCCGTTGGTCCCGGCCCATGTGTGTTTGAATGGGTGCGATATCCTACGCAGGTGTGGAAGCTGCCTTCCTGCACAGAGACCGACGTTAACTAAACGATTGAATTGGACAACAAATCAAGGAAAAAACTACAAGGGACAGCCCTATGGAGTTGTACGCAATGGTGTTAACTGCAGCAGGAGCTTGTGTTTTGTGTAGGAATAGGAATTTGAGCGGAGTTCTCTCTGTTTATACTCTTTAGTATGACGTGCTTGGTGTAGATGGCCCACAGCGACTGACGAAGAGCTACTTATTCCGATCAATAGCAGTGCGGCTACTTCCTTTTTCTGTGTATGCCCATGTGGGCTGCAGCTAGCCACTTGCGGGGAGCTTTTCGTTGTGTACTGTAGAACACTAAAACTCACCACACGGTGGTTGAACCGTTTGGTGAGACCGGATGGAATTCAACGTTTTTTTAAATTATCATAGCAACAATTGCACATTCGTGCATTTTTCAATAGTGACTTTTTTAAAAAATGATAAAGTTCTAAATTCAGCAGATGCGTAGAAATATTTCTGATCGATTGGTGATAAAATTATTACAATTGGTCCAATGGAAGCTGAGTTATTAACGTTCAAAATCATTCATAATTTTGTTACATGTTCCATTTTCGGTTTTCACAAAGTGTACCCCCATATAGAAATCACAGATGTAGTCCTACGTCAAAAAGAGATAGTGGATCATTTTCAAGATGTGGTTTTATTGATTAAATAATCAATGCAATTTTGTTGTATAGTGATGATAATCTTTAATTTCAAAATGGTGGCTGATATTCAAAATGGTGGATTTCAAGATAATGGGTCAATTCTAAAATGGTGGATTCAACATCGCGGTTTGATGATAAAATGTTCGATCTTTTTGAAAGAAATGTTATTGAAATTTCAAAAACAATTTCAATTCAAAGATGGTGGCTGATCTTCAAAATGGTGGATGATTTTCAAGATGGAGAATTTAGGATGGTGGGTCTTTGATAAAAAGGTCAATGCAATTTTGTTGTATTGTGATAAGAATCTGCTATTGCAATGAGAGTTTCGATTCCAAATCAAAGGTGGTGTATGATGATCGCGGATTATTGGTAGCCTCTAAAATAACTAACTTAATTTAATTATATCTAAAACAACCCAGGTTTTTAAAAGTACCTCAACCAAATGGGCTGAAGTTCACTCAAAATACCCTCAAACAATTCTGGAACAACTCGTTAGAATCGAGATACAAGATAAAAAAAAATCATGCAAAATACCTATCAAGTTTAGTTTTAGGTAAAATGAAATGTAGTTGCAGATGTTAATTTCAAATAACAGACTAGAGTGGTAATGATGTGTTTGAAACAGTTCTATCGATTTTTACCGCACTCAAGTTGTTATCTGAAGGAAGGCATTCAGTCGTAGGTTTGGAAATTGCAGCTATTGTTGTTTAATAAATCGAAGAAGTGAGTCACTTCAAACTGATCTACTATCGCCTTAAGTCGTAGGCAGCGTTGCCAGTATTCCAGATTTATCTGGATTTTCCAGATTTTCAGTCGTCTTGCCACAGACAGATCACGTATATTTTCAGATTGTTTTTAATACATTCCAGATTTTCCCAGATTTGTAAAATATGTTGCTTTAAAAATATCACTGATGGATCCTCTAATAAAAAATCTAAACTTATTACTTTAATTATTAAAGGCCATAAACGTTGGACGCTATTGCAACATCGTACATGGAATTGTTGCAGAGAAGTGCAGAATCATGAAAATTGTAATATTTTCTAGCGATTATTGGCTGAAAAAAATCTTCAAACTTTTAAAAATATCGGACCTGGATTTTTGTTTAGATTTTGGCTGTATATATTTTTTTGGAATCCTGAATTTATAAAAATCAAAATGTCAATATGGAGAAATTTTCTTAATTTTTTAATTTAAAGAAATCGAAAACTGTTGGATTTGGAAGATTGGCAAGGTTTTTGAAGCTAGACAACAACTAGGACTTTGAAGTATGTTCGTGAGATTTTTGACGATAATTCATACGATTTATAAGTAGAATTTTTAAGGCATCTGATAATTTTTAGCATTTTTTTTAAGTACTTGAGAATATTGAGTTTCCATAGCAGTCTGAATTACTTTAGAATTCTGAATTGCTCAAACATTTAGAATTTTACGGTAGTTCTTAAAATAGTTTAATCTGAAGTGTGAGGCGAATTTCTTGAAAGGAGAATTACAAGTTAATTCTGAGTAGAGTTCCATTCATCTTTGTGGACTTCGTGGTCGTGCGGCGTCACCCGTCGTTCAGGCGCATTGTGAGTAGAGGTGGGCAAAGAAGCTCATCTGGCTGAGTGGATCAGACCCGTCCAGCTCACTAAAGGGAGTCGATTGTTTCAAACAGCTCTTTAGCTCACCATGAAATTATAGAAATTTTGACACAAATGTCACACGCGATGATATGATCGACATAGTATTACACGATATTACGCCTTTTCTCAAGCTATGCATTCCAGTCTACATTCAGATTTTATTTCTGATGTTAATTCTTCCGCAGATTTGCTCTCACTATTCTCGGCTTCAGCTCCAGAGATCATCAGCTCAGATCTAGAGATGGGCTCTCGAGCTGTTTTATAGACCCGACTCACTAAAGTTCTAGAGAAGTACTAGTTGTCTCTCTCATTCAAACGCACATCCTGCTCCGCTCCGCTAATGCACGCTCAGATCTGAATACACCATTAGACTTATGATATCAGTGAGCTGATGAGCTGCGGTTCCTAAAAAAATGAACCGCGGGTCATCAGCTCACTTTAGTGAATCGGGTCTTTAGAACAGCTCGGGAGCGGATCGCCCACCTCTAATTGTGAGTGCCAGGAAGTGATGGTTCGATTCTCGGTGTAACTTTTCGCAACCTGAAAATTCCTCTACTGGTGTGGTGTGTTGTCCGTTGTCTAGTTTGAGTATGCCGTCTGTGCAACCTCTGGGTCAAGACGGTGTCAATTGTCTTTTAAAAACTCTGATGACAATCACATGGAGATTTTGGGAGACGAACCAGCCCAGGGCTGAAAGTCTCCTTAATAAAGATATAAAAAAAAACATGGAGATTTTGGGAAAAATCGAACTTGGAAGAGAAATCATAGAAAATTCTTAAGATGAAACTTATGGAGTATGCTGATA